GACCACCCCGACCAGCCACGTCGTTTGAACAACCTCGGCATCTCACTGCTAACTCGATTCGAGCGGCTGGGCAATCTCGCAGATATTGACCGGGCGATCTCGGTCCAAGAGGATGCAGTGCGACTTACTCCTCATGACCACCCTGACAAGCCGAGTCGTTTGAACAACCTCGGCAACTCACTGTTGACTCGATTCCTGCGGCTGGGCAATCTCGCGGATATTGACCGGGCGATCTCGACGAAAGAGGATGCAGTACGACTTACTTCTCATGACCACCCCGACAAGCCGAGTTGTTTCAACAACCTTGGCAGCTCACTGGGGATTCGATTCCAGCGACTGGGCAATCTCGCAGATATTGACCGGGCGATCTCGGTCCAAGGGGATGCAGTGCGACTTACTCCTCATGACCACCCCGACGAGCCTGATTATTTGAACAACCTCGGCAGCTCACTGTGGACTCGATTCAAGCGGCTGGGCAATCTTTCAGATATTGACCGGGCAATCTCTGTCCAAGAGGATGCAGTGCGACTTATTCCTCATGACCACCCTGACAAGCCTGGTTGTTTGAACAACCTCGGCATCTCACTGCTGACTCGATTCGAGCGGCTGGGCAATCTCGCAGATATTGACCAGGCAATCTCGGTCCAAGGGGATGCAGTGCGACTTACTCCTCATGACCACCCCGACGAGCCTGATTATTTGAACAACCTCGGCAACTCACTGCTGACTCGATTCGAGCGGCTGGGCAATCTCGCAGATATTGACCGGGCAATCTCGGTCCAAGAGGATGCAGTGCGACTTATTCCTCATGACCACCCCGACAAGCCTGGTTGTTTGAACAACCTCGGCATCTCACTGCTGACTCGATTCGAGCGGCTGGGCAATCTCGTAGATATTCACCGGTCGATCTCGATGAAAGAGGATGCAGTACGACTTACTCCTCATGACCACCCCGACCAGCCACGTCGTTTGAACAACCTCGGCATCTCACTGCTGACTCGATTCAAGCGGCTGGGCAATCTTTCAGATATTGACCGGGCAATCTCGGTCCAAGAGGATGCAGTGCGACTTATTCCTCATGACCACCCCGACAAGCCTGGTTGTTTGAACAACCTCGGCA